AATTTACAAATAATTTATTATATGTATGTACTTATGTACCTATTTCAAATTTTTCGCACTACGTTCGTAGAATTTTAGTTAACATAACCTATAATCAACTACTTATTTACACTTATGTATCTAGAGACGTAGGTTAGGTACATTAGTACCTAGGAATTACTGCGATATATGTATACGTAAACAATTTTATTAAGAATATACAGATATATTTTTCAAAATATTTTTTATATTAATTTTAAAATTAAATTTTAAAATAAAAATTTTATTGAGATGATCAAGCAAAATATTTTGTGATTATGATATAATTACCCTTGCTCCCTACACCTCCAACTTCATATAATAAAATTAATTTTTTCTAAATTAAATTAAAAATATTAGAAAATTTTCTACCTATATACTTTTATTTAAATAATAAATAAAATGCAATTCTAAATTTTCCATTGTTATTCAATTAAAATATACTTATAAAAAAAAATTATTTTTTTCTCTCGTTTAATACACACAATATAAATTTGTATGTACATATGTATAATGTATATTTTTGCTACATAATGTACATTCGATTGTAATTAAACTAGGTATATTTATACATATCATATTAAGTGAGTATGTATATGATATCTTATAAATAATTGTGAAAAATTACTATATCTTTTTATGAAAGTGCTATTGTGAATTTGTATCTCAAATAAAATGCTGTGATATACTTATACATACATCCATAATATACTTAGCTGTGTATAAAATTTATTAAAAAAGAAAATATATCCATTTGCTATAACTATATAAGGTAGATATAAATATATAGAAATAATAATTATGTAGGTATGTATATGAAAAATTTTGTATATATTTTTAGGAGTCTGTTATAATAATAAACTTTATTAGTGTTAGTAGAGTAGGTATATAATTTTGTATACACTTTATTTTTGTATTATGATAAAAAAGTATGAAGAAGATTTTAGTAGGAAATATAAATGCACAAATATATGTAGGTACGTATACTTAAATAAATAAGAAAACTTAAATTGCAAGAGGAAGAAATTTTAATAAATATGTATGTAAATTATGTTCATTTATATATGTACATTTTAATTTTTAAATAATGAAATTTTAAAATTTTAAATTTAATAATTAGGTGATTAAAATTTGAGAAAGAAATTAGTATATATATATACATACTGGTCTTCCTATAAAAATTAGAGTACTCAAAAATTACTAGTCTCGCCAAAATAGAATTGATAAATTTTGAAATAACAAAATAAGAAATTAAATTGGAAATATTATTGTATATGACTTTCAAGTCCAGTCAACAATATTATAATTAACAAGCTATGAGTAAGTGATTAAATATTGACTTTTATATTCTTTAATTAGTTTATGTAAATTTTATTAAAATTATTGTTGTAATTGATATATTTAACACGGTAATAGGACAATATTGAAAAAAAAAACAGTGAAATTATGTGAAACTTATGAAATTACATTGCCGGTTGTATAAAAAATTTCGCCCAATTTCTTTATTTTTCAATTTTTAGTATTTTTGCATATTACATACTTAAGTATGTGAGTAAAATTTTAAAATTTGCAATTCTGCTCTGATATCGATTGTTTATTTTGAAAGTGGGCAAGGTACCCAATTCCATTTCAAGTAAAAACCCGTTCCGTTTGGGTTTTAAAACACTAAACCAAACTGGTTACTTGCTTTATAATAATTCGTCGGTATTATGGAAGAGTATCGAAACTGCTTTTTTTTTGTGTTTCGAGAAAAATGCATTTAAAAATATACACAGTAATATTAATTTGCAGATGCGCGTAAAATTTATTTTTCCGAAAATACTAACTTTAGAGTTACGTGGGATTTCTATTATGATTTTTCGTATATATATAACTCAAAACTCTCAAAAAAAGCAGTTTCGTGATTCTTTCATAATACCAACGATATATTTATTTTCCTATCCAGTGACATAAATTTCAATTCCAACTATTGAGATTAAGTATCATCGCTTTAGAAATAAAAGAATTTTAAAATTGCAAATGGACTTACATTCACAATAATAATAATACATTCAGAATAAACTATCCGTATAAAATATCTTATTTGCTATAAGTACTTATTTTATTAGAAATTTTTATTAGGGAAACATCGTTAGGAATAATTATCTGAAAAATAAATTTTAATAAACAAAAAAATTAAAAAATTTCATTATACTAGTCTAGGCTATTTATAAATTTTCAATTAGATTTCTTTGTTGTACATTATTCTTTACAAATTAGAATATATATAGCTATTCTAAGTATATTGGGAATTAAAATAAAAGCAAATAGGTATATAAAGCAAATAAATAGCATTGAAAAATGTTTAAAATTCAATTTATAAAATATAAACCAGAAATAAACAAATAAATTTTCTGAATTTAAACAAAAGCCAAAATTCTTTATACTTACTTGCTTAAATGTTTGATAAAAAAAATTCGTAAAGACGTTAAACAAAAAACATCTCTAAAAATAATCTAGTAGGAAAATAAAAAAAAAAACAGGAAAAATATGAGTAGGTATACGCATACATACAAACAAGCCCCTTAAATAATACCCATGTGTTCATAGTTAAGCGTTTTTGTTACTTACATTTTATTTCTTGCTAAATACAAGCACAAATATATATGAAAGTACCTTAAGTAACAGAAATTGATTTGACGTTTATTTAACTTGCAATAATAATAAAATTTTATAATAAAAAATATGCTTGATTATAAGTAGTTTTTTTTCAATAGCTTTATAAGGTTATACTTTAGTTACTCTTATATGATAATATTGAGTACCTTTCTATCTGTATATGGTGTTACCATGTATAGATAATAAATGTGCATATATACAAGTTCGTTGTTTGAGTTTTTGTAACATTAAGCTGGCCGCTTTTTTTATGCTTATAACAGTTATGTTATTTATATATAACAGTTATATATGTAGGCAGGTATCTCATATTTTGTTTATAAAAAAAACGAAAATTTCTAGGTTAGAATAAAGGCTAGATTTAAGAATTTTTCTTGTATAAAATTTCAAATATTTTTCTTATCGTAATATTGAATGCGTTTCTTCTTATATTACAATTGGGTGCTTTTATAAGAAAAAAATTCAAAATTTTGAAATTGTACGGGTTTCAGTATTTTATAATAAAATTTAATTTAGGGAATTTTTGGATATATATTTGATATTTTAATTAAAATAATAATTTAAATAAGAATTTTAAATATTATAATAGAAAAAGAATAAATATTTAGAACATTTGGGGGTTTAAAGCTTGGTAACTCATCAAAAAGAAATTATTCAATCAGTTTAATTTGAAATTTTAACCTTGTTATAGGTTCAGAAGTTCGATATCAATTAATTATTTGATATACTAAATGCAATTAATTACTAAACATAACTAAGTACTTACACTGTTATATCAGTAAGTAAGTACTTAAGTTCAATATTAAAAGCTCAAATAACACTTGCATATATTATAGACTAAGTAAACAATTACTGAAATACGGTTACATTATGTATAAAAGTTATTCATATAAAAAAATATAGATATAAGTGTATTATGTATAATTATTTTATATGTACTTAGGTCTGCAAAGTTTAATTGCATAGTTTAATCAATATTGTGATACTTAATCAATTAAATTTATTTAAATTATAATTTTTAAGCAATAAAATAAAATGTTTTACTTAAATTACACAAAAGTAGTTCAAAATTTTTCTTAATAAATTTCGTTCTTAAGCATACAGAATTATAATTTTTGTTACAAAGGTTGTAGTTTTTATTGTAGAAAGTCATAATTCTTAATCACTTTACAATCAATAAGTACAATGTTGATATTGTAATAATCTTTACAGATGTTTAAAAATAAGTCATATTATTAATATAAAAGGAATTTTCGATTAAGTATTAAGATTAAGTAAGTAAATCAACAGTAACAACTTATGCAATTTGTTTACTATCTTACAGATTAAGTATGTGAAGAAGTTTGCTGAGTAATCTGTAACAAAAATAACTGAGTTGCGATAACAAAAGTTTCAAAATTTTTTAATTACAAAATTTTATTTTTTAAAAAAATATTTCTTAAGTAAGTACTTAGCGGTTAAAATTTAAGATAATAAAAATTCATTCGTTCTTTAATTGATAATATGAAACTTTGCTAATAATAAATCTAATAAGTAATCAACTCTTCTTAAATATAATGAAAAACCTTAATGTATTTAATATATCTGCGTCTATGATATAGGTACTTGGTGAGGCTTTTACACTTATCGTTTACTTGCAAAATTAAATTCCCGAATTCGATTATTAATCAAGTTCAAAACTAAAATTTTAACATTTATATAATTTACTTTTCGGAAGATTAAAAATCAATTTTCAGTACAAGATTATTAAATGTTTTTTATATTTTATTTATTATTTGAGTAAGTCATTTGTAGGTATTGTAAATCATAATGTAATCAGAAGGAATAAGATATTTAGTAAAAGATATAAGGTTAGTCAAGAATAAAGTTAAAAACTTAACTTATTCTCAATTAAGTTACTACACTACAATTAATTCTATTAAGAAATTATACAATTTAGTACCACGAGTTATAAAAAAAATATGTACTAAAATTCTGTACTAAAAATGTACTAAATTTTTTTTTGTTCTAAAAATGTTATTGAAATTTAAGTATGTAAACACTAAATAAAAAATCATTTATTTTTAGATTAAAAATATGTTTTAATTTTTTTTTTAAATTTTAAAAGTAAAGGCTTATTTTACATACTTTACTGAAAAAATAAATAAATATATTTACATAAAAAAAAAATCTGTACATATTAAAAATTTAGAACAAAAACATCGAAATATTTTTAAAGTGAATTAATATAATTAAAATCAAGTATATTTTCTAAAAATTTAATAAAAAATAAATAATAATATAATAAGTGTTATTTAGAAAAAAATATATTCAAATTATTGTCATTAGAATTGCATAAAATTATTATTTATAAAACAAAAAAATTAATTTAAATCCGCCAATCTGAGATTATTAAATAAAAAAAATTTTAAGCGATATATTACAAATATATTGCATTCTTCATGTCAAACAATAAAAATACCTGAAATCAGTTGTTTGATGGCACCAACAAATAAATTAAGAAAAGAAATTTTAAAGATGCTCCATTATAATCCATGTTTAAATTGTTCATCTGTTTCACGGAGAAAGGAATATGAAGTAAGTGAAAAACTTATTACAAATATTTTAACTAAATAATTAAGAATTTATTGAGTTACTATTATGATACTTACATTAAGTAATATATAGTTTAATATTTAAATATTTTATCACGAAAATGTTAAAATAATTGAAGAATTATACCTTATCTACCTTGGTATAACTACCTTGATAAGTAGTTGGATTCAATTCTCTATTTCACAGCAAAATGGGCGTTTGTTGGGTATTTAATTCATCCACTCCTTAGCATGTATTCCTTCAACTACGTATGTTAATATGTATAACAATATTATGAATGTACATTGCAAATATATAACTCTTCCAATTACATATCAGTTTATAAAATGGTTTTAAGAGTAGTTAGCCGGAATAGTAAAACACATTTATATTATTCTATTATAAAATATAATAAATTTATGCATTGGCTCCGCAGTGCTGTATAACCAGAATTTCTATACTACTTGCAAAACCGCTTACATATTTGCTTGTAAACTTTTGAAAGAAGTGTTTCTTCATTTATATTTTAAATGGCGATAGGGAGAGAGAATATTTTAGAACATTACTCTAAAAACTAGTAACCAACATTTACATATCTATATATACAAATAATATATGTATGCGTAAATACACATAATATAAATAAATATTTATAACTCTAATTTATTAGCTTTGAATATTTTATGAAGATTTCACCTGTACCGTGTGTTAAATCATCAATAAAGGTCACATACACGTATTATAGTTAATCTAATTAGAATTTTCACTTTTACTTATTATTTTTATTGTAACAAGTTATATTCATTGTCTTTGCTTGATTTCCTGTAAATATACAATATCATATAGCCATCTCTTTTTATCTTAAAAACTCACTTCTCTTCAGAAAAATGAAACAATGAGTAAATAAAGGAGAGAAATTAATATGAATGTGAATGAGGAAGGGAAAAATAAAACCCTTTTTTGAACAAAATATTCAAAAGGTTTGAATGGGGCTAAAAAATATCATATATATTCATATATTTACGTACTTGTATAAGATATATAAAATAAATTTAATCTTATTAAATTTGGTTAATTTGATGGTATAGATCTATATCTATATAAATTAACAAAATATTTACAAATTATTAACTATAAACAATAATAAAAGCAAGAAGACCGCAACACTTTTCATGTTTTTTCATTCCTTTTATTTTTTAAATTTTTTGTCTTACTTCAATAAAATAGATTAAAAAAGGTGTGTTCCATCTCTTTCGTTTTATGGGTTTATTAATTTTGTTCTTTTTCTTATAGGAATTCATTAAAAAGCAAATTATAAAAACAAAGGGAAAAACTAAAATATTTTGAATGCATAGTTTGTAGAGTTGTACTTATGTGTTAGATAGTTACAATTCGAGACTAGGCGACGCGACTATGTTCTTCAAAAATTATTGTAAATTTATAGTTTGTACCTTTCATTTAACCTTGCCCTTTTACTTAATTATTAAGTTCATATTTTGTAATCACACATATTTAACTATGTATTTATTAGCAGGCTTACTTATTTTAAAATATGTTTAAATATTCAAATACTTAGATTATAGCAGTCATAGCACGCCACATATACTAAAAAGCGATTTTAAACAATTTGTTATATTTACTTACTTCTATATACTTAAGTAGGAAAATGGGCAATGATTGTAAATGTGGATTCTAAAGTCAAAAGCAACGGATTTCACTTCACATATTTTAGGCTCCAAATTTTGAACCCGTAAATAACAACTAAGATTTAATTCTTTTTCCCCTCCCGCATCGCATGCAATAATATTTGTAAGTAATTGTTAAGAATTTATCTGTATCAAATTTCCTCTTTCTTTGCATGTTCTGTTCCTATATTTTGTTTTATTTTATAATTTTGTATGTTTGACCGACAGTGGCTCTTTAAACTCAATTCTGGAATAACAAAGTAAAATGATTATGATTTTTGATAATCAATCACATTTCCATTAATCGGCCAGAAATAAATTTTGAACACTGAAAAGAAAGAATGCAAAAATTTTCCAAAACAACAATTTTTGGCAATTTTTCATATTTTTTGCCTTCAATCAATATGTCAAAATAAGAAAATTTATACTTAATTACTGAATCATAAATAAATATTTTTACTTTCCAATTGTTAAAGAAAAATAAAGAAAAATATTTATAATTTTGAAGTAAGGACCTAAATATAGAACAGATTTGCAATTCTTATGTTGTTCGATTCGCCCCTACTTTTAATAGATTATTTTGTAATAAATAAGAGTTATCGTTCAATTTATATAATATATGTACATATATCTAATATAATAGTACAAATACATCACAGCTATGAGTTTATTATACGAACATACGCACATACTAATTTATACCGTTATGTTAGAAATAGAAAAATTTCCGTTATTCTACGCTGGAATATTTCCTTTTCGTTTTCAAATTAATGGACATTTTTGCTTTTGTTTTTTAAAGTGACAAGTTAGACAGGTGGAATTAGGACTAAAATTATTAGAATTTATTGTTTTTATTATAAAAATTATATACATATGTACCTATTTATAAGTATACTTACGTGTATAATTTACTACCCTTTAATTGTATTTAATAGATCAGAATAAGGAGAATAAATCTGTTTAAGTATGTACTTATATGTATACATATATGTTCTTATATGTATGAACTTAAATAGGTAGAATAGCCGTAAGTATGTATGGTAGAATAGCCATAGGTAGTATATATATATATTGTATATACAGAATTTCGCATAAATTAATTTTTAAGTATTCTACATTACTAAGTATGTACTTGTAAGAGAAGAAATAAATTGTACAAGTAAGTAAGTATGTAGTTATTTATATTTATTTTACATTAAGTTGTCAAAAAAAAATTAGAGAAAAATAACCAAATATAAGTACATAAGTATTATATACTTATATATTTGTACATTAATTATGTCAAAAAGAGTCCGGTATACAATTAGTAACCAAGTATAGAACTGTATGAATATAAATTTATTTTGCACAGCACTTGTGACGTTTTTCATTCATTGATTCAAATTTTCGAGCATCATTCTAGGGAATAATTCGGCCTAATTTAAAACTTATTCATATTTTATAATTGTATGTAAGTAACATTGTAGTTAAATTTAAATAAAACTTAAGTTAAATTCACATAGAACTGATTTTTAATTCAAAAATTTAAGGAACTTTTTCAAAATTACCCCATTATTTAAAGAGAATTTAAAATCAAAACTCGAAATAAAAGTTCATTTTTATAAGCAAAATTTATTTTCCCCCTAAAAAGTTAAAAGAACTTCTATTAAAGAAAAACTTGAACATAAACATGCAGTAAATATAATGTGGAAAAATTTATATAGTCGTCTATTCTTAATTAACTTTCCTTAATGGAACAATTTCTTTAAATTAGAAATCTTAAAATGTGTGATGTTCTTATAATTAGATACTTAGTTGAAGACCTTCTTTTTGGACTTGTAATGTACCTAACGGGATCGACTTTTAAGGGCCGTTACCTACTATTAGAAGCGCTTAAGAACCACCAGATAACATATCTGCAACAATACGCCCCATAACAACACTAGTTTAATTTTTAAAGATCTTTTTTGAGCCGTTTTTATGGGTTTGTAAAAGGTACCACATTGCTGTAGGTACCACATAGGTTGACTGTATTTCAAAGTTTTATTATTAAATTTCAATGTACATTGAAATATTTTCAATTTCATTCATAAGTATATTCAGTTGACGTCATTTGCATTTTTCTATTGAAATTTTTCTTCTTTATTAACAATAATTTTCATTTAAGCGTAAATCAATACCAACATTTGTAGAAAAAAAAATTTAAATATTTTTCAATTTTTTTTTTAACAAATTGTAAACTGGAACGAAATGTGTTTATTTGTGAACTACATTTAGTTGCTTTTATACTCAAGTATTATGACCAGAAAGTAAATTGTCGACAACTTGTTATATAAATTAAGCATGCCAGTTACTCAAATTAAAAACAAAATTTCGATTAAAAATAATCCAAAACAATTTGGAAGAAAAAATACGAGTTAATTATAAATAAATTCCAGAATTTTTTCTCTATTATGGTTTTATTATTGTGAATATTATTAATAATAAAGTACAAGACAGGCCCGGGTCTGATTTGTTCAGCTCCCTACACGGTTTTAAAAAAGTGCGGCCCCCGCGTTCAAAGCAATGAATAATATTATGCTATAAACATTACAAACTACGCATCATAATGGCTGCCCTGGTTTCCGGTTATATTTTTATATGCTTGATGCTTATACTTTGCATAAATGATAGATCGGGTGTTGATCCTTTCTGTTTACATTATATTAATCACAATATAGACATATTTAACAGAATAAAATTTATCAAATTACTTAAGAATCATTACTAAGTAATAAATAATTTAATAAATATATACTAATAAATAAATATAATACTAATAAATAAATATAAGGGGAAACTAGAACTATATAATTTTGTAATCATCGTAATACATACATATGTCACTGATAAATCACTTTAAAACTACCATTTTTTCCCATACCACAAAAATTAACTCATCTTTTCGAAGATTCTCTTTCTTAAATTTATTTTAAAATTGCAAAAATAGTATCATCATTTCACTTTTGGGATTACATTTGATTGTATGTATACTTAATTCTCACATACTTTTTAAATGAAATAATTTTTTTCACACCATCAGCTGTGAATGGTACAGGAAGGAAGTAATTAATCAATTACGTACTCTTAAATGAATGTTATTTTAAATTTATTAGAAAAATTTAAAAAATACATTTACAAAAAATATGAAATACTTTTTTACACAATTTTTATTTAATTGTAGACATAATTTTATTGTAATGCCCGAATATAAATAGCGGAACGTAGCAATTTTCAAATTGTTAAAAATTTTAATTTAATATTTATGACATAAAAGTGTCTCGAGAATAAAATATAAAT